TAACAAAATCAGCCTGGTGGGAGGTTTTAAGCAGATGTTAAAAGAAGGAGGGGTGACGTCTTTGTGGAGAGGAAACGGCATCAACGTCCTGAAGATCGCCCCGGAGACAGCCATTAAATTCATGGCGTACGAACAGGCATGTATTTTTTATAATTTGTTGAATTCTTTCCTATTGCATATTTCAGATTCTTACTGAAGTGTCTCCTCAGTATAAGAAGCTGCTGGCCAGTGAGCCGGGGAAGATCCAGACCCATGAGAGGTTCATGGCGGGATCGTTGGCTGGAGCCACGGCGCAAACTGCCATCTACCCCATGGAGGTGAGCCAAGATGGAGCTTTTCTTACCCCATGTAGCAAAAACATGGATTTACACTGCAAAAACACAAAGTCTTACCAAGTATAAATATCTTACTACACTAGAAATAAGACAAAACTGACTTACAAGTAACTTTTCATCAAGATGTAGGAGTCAATAATTACTTAATCTTGAAATTTTAGAAGTACTAGTTTCACTGACAGATTAATTTACTTCTAGCATTAGAAAATCTCTTTATTATAAGTGAAATAATCTCCCAGTGGGGCTAGTACTTAAAAAAATCAATATTAAGGAATTGTTGACTTAAAACATTAATATTTTGCTTAAAAAATTCTGATAAATTACTTTTTTCTTATTTATAGTGCACTAAGATAATTGCACTAGAAACTAGACCAAAAACCTGGTACAATTTTATGTTTTTTTTTTGCAGTGTACGACTGAATTTCCTATTCTCTGTGATCTCAGTTTGTACAGATTGAACAAATATTGTAAATTAGGTTTTCAAGTAAATTAAAAATATGCAAATTTTGACTTTTTTTTAATCAATTACAAGTTAGTGCTGGGTTGTTGTAGTAATTCATAATACCAATGAAAAAACTCAAGAAGATTTTCATCCCAGGACTTATAAACTATAAACTATAAAGATTCTCAGTGGTTGAATGATTCAACCTGATGATCATTCAACCAGAAATCTGATGACACATTTTTACATTTGATCAAAAACATTATTCGTGTAACATATTTGCTTGTTCCAGTTGAATTATCTCACTTTTTTCTTCTGCAAAGTTGCATCATAAACTTTGAAAAGTGTCCAAAATAGATGCAAATTTTGTGTTTCTGGCAGTTATTAGTTATTAGTTGATTAGAATATGTGGAAGCCAGAAAGTTGCAAAACAAGTTCAGCGTGACACATTTCCTTTCTGATTCAAGGCAGTCTTTGTTTTGTTTCTATTGTACTTCGCTAACTCATTGCATTGAATATTTGAATTGATAATTATCCAAACAGTGGCTAATATTAACAATTTTCAGAAATTTCCAAGTTTTCTTGAAATTCAGAAATTTCCAAGTTTTCTTGAAAATTTCTGAAATTGTTCTAAAAAATTCTGACTCCTTTTTAGAAAATGTTCAACTTTTGAAACTACGAAGTTTTTTTTTTTCTAGAAAATTTCTGAGATATCAAAATTTGACTTTTTACCAGCAAATTTTTGACTTTTCAAACTCAGAAATTTCCAAGTTCTTTTCAAAGATATTTCTGAGATTAACCTCAAAATTTTAGGGTTTTTTTTCTAGTAAATTTTTGACTTTTGAAACTCAGAAATGTAATATGTTTTTCTCAAATTTCTGTGATTAATCTTAAACTTTCTGAATTTTTTTGTAAAAATTTTCCACTTTTCAGGTGTTTTTTTCCAGAAAATTTTAGATTTAGACTACTATCAAAATGTATCAATTCCTGTCAAATTTCAACTTTTTGAAGTCAGAAATGTTCAAGTACTTTCAAGTAAACGTCATAGATTAATGTCAACATTTTTGAGATTTTTCTAATAGTCTTTCAAGTTGAAAAGCTTCTAGAATTATTTCTGAGTTTTATGTCAAAATTTGAGTTTTTTTTCCAGAAAAATTTCAACAACAACAACAACAAAAAAACTCAGCTGCTTTGCTGATCGTCTGGATTTCGTCTCTTCAGGTGATGAAAACTCGTCTGACGCTGAGAAAGACGGGACAGTACTCAGGGATGTTCGACTGTGCCAAGAAAATCCTGCAGAAGGAAGGAGTCAAGGCATTTTACAAAGGATACATTCCCAATATTCTGGGCATAATCCCGTATGCTGGGATAGATCTGGCTGTGTACGAGGTGTGTACCGATAATTTGGATAAATTCAAACTGTAAATACATAAATCAGTACTGAGGTTTCCTCAATCTCTTCCCAACAGAGCTTAAAGAACTTCTGGTTGTCCAAATACGCCAAAGACACAGCGAACCCAGGGGTTCTGGTGCTGCTGGGCTGCGGAACCATTTCCAGCACCTGTGGTCAGCTGGCCAGTTACCCGCTGGCGCTGATCCGCACTCGCATGCAGGCTCAAGGTAAAGGAAAACCTAATCAGTGAAAAATAACTTAAATACAATAAATATGTAGCTAGAAATGTGAATATTAACTCCCTTTAACTTGGTGAAAATAGCAAGTTAATAACCATTAAGAAAAATAAAAAATCCACTAAAATGTTTATTTTTTATTATAAATGAAGTTGATTTATGAGAATAAAGCCATACGAGAATAAATTTGTAATATTATGAGAATTAAGTTGTGCGAGAATAGTCAGAATATAAGAATAAAGTCATACTTCTACGAGAATAAAATTGTAACATTACGAGCATAAAGTAAAAAAAAAAAGTTTTTTATTTTCTTAGCATGGCCCTGTTAGCTAGCTTTTGCGTCTGTCATGGTGAATTACAAATTTATTACCAGTTGATTGGATGGAAGTCGTACATTTCTGTGGAGATCTTGGTATGAAATTCCTTTCAGTCTTTTCAGTCTTTCTTTTTTCCTTAAAGTCTTTTAAAGTCTTACATGTGAGTTGGTGAAAGAAACCCTGAAAGTGCCTTTTTTACAATCCGAGTTTTTCTTATGAAATTATTACGCGCTACAAGTTCTCAGATGTTAGTTGGCTGGATGTGCAGCCATGTTGAATTGATTATCTTTCAAATAATTCAGATTTAAGGAAGTTTCTAGAAGAGCAAAATGTTCTCATGAACTCAAAACTTTTAATTGGGATTAGGGGCTTAGTGACGTAAACTGAGGATTTCTTTAGTGTCATGGAACAGAACTGGTTCTTAATGGGTTTTACCTTCACGCCATGTTGTGCAACAAACGGACCAGATTAAATCAGGATCTCTTCTTCTACTTTTAAATACATTTTATGTTTATTTTTAATGTGATTATCTTAAGATTGGGAAATAAAATATATATGTTTCCTCCCTGTTCATACATAATTTGAACATGAAATTGCTAAATATATTGCGTGGATTAACCACTTCCATCTTGGAAATAGTGAATGAATTGATAAGAATAACAAGGAATATTAATCTTTTTTACTTTGCATTGAAGAATCCAAGTAAATATTTTACATAAGACCACTTTTTTTAGATGTTTAAATAGAAAACATTTAACATCTTCCCACATACTTACAATTTAGCAGGGGTGTTATTTACCTTTTCTAAATTTATGAATTTGCATATTTTGTGTTGTATATTTTTGATTTAAATGCTAAAAAAGCAGAAAAACAAACTTAAAACCATAATTTTGAGTGCTTCATTTCATTTTATTGATCCCAAATGGAAATTAACCTTCAAGAAAAGTCGTAATATTATGAGAAGACATAGCAATTTTATTTGACTTTAATCTTGTAATTGTATTTTTTACACTTTTCTTTAGCGTAGACCAAATACTATGTCATAGTGGTGGGCATTGCTAACTAAAAGGTTATTTACACTAAAGCACCAATCATAAATAATTCCAGTAACACTAAGAAGCTATACCAATATAGTATTTAGTGGAAGCTAATGCTAAAATGCTAACATTATTTCATGAAAGCTAAAGTGAAAGCTCTAACATCGTATTTAGTGGAAGCTAATGCTACAGTGTTAATGTCGACCATGTTGACGCCCTCCATGTGTCTCTCGTCGCCACAGCGTCTCTGGAGGGCGCTGAGCAGCTGCCGATGGGCCGCATGGTGCAGAAGATCCTGGAGAAGGACGGCTTCTTCGGACTTTATCGCGGCATCCTGCCCAACTTCATGAAAGTGATCCCAGCGGTCAGCATCAGCTACGTCGTTTACGAGAACATGCGCTCTGGCCTGGGAATCCAAAAGTAAGCTGCAGAACCCTCCGGCTGCAGCCATTTTTATTTTCCATTCACACTCCCCATTCTTCATCAAGTTGTTTACCTGGAGTCACCAGAGGTCACGCAGCTGAACTCCTGTGGAGGATTTAAAGTTACAGCAGCACTTTAAAATCCTGCTCGCTGTTTACAATGCAACCACAGCTTTAAGTGTACTGACACACTTTGGGTTAAATAACTTTAAATCGCTCAGAGAAGGTTGATTTAAACAGAAAACCCGTTCAGCCTCCATTGTTTACCTTTAATCAGGCTGCACCAGTTTTGGCCCTTATCAGTCGTCCGAGCCATCACCTGCTGTGTAAAAACTCCAAAATCATGCAAGATGTCTCTGAAAAACTAAAGTGCAATACTTTATCCCGTCAGGAAAAAAATCACAGCAGTTTTTCCAAAGAGTTAATATGTGGGATGTTATTGCACCTTTAAGTAAAAGTAAACGAATATGTGCCTTATATGTCTTTTTTTTCTTATGTTTTCTTTTGCCTTTGGTTTATAGAAAATGTTTACAATAAACATCTGATTACATATGAATTAAGTTGTGAACAGTTTTTATTGAAAATACCAACAGAAACGATGATGTGTGTTACTGAGGTTTGATGTGACAAACAAGGAGGTGAAACATCATCACAGAGAATCTCAGAATGAATTAAATTCAGGCAAAAAAAAGAAGTTCATAGTTCAACACCTAAATACTCTGAATTTAGGTCAAAGCTCCTACATAAGCTAATTATTGTTCCTTTACATTTATGTCTGAAACTAGTTAATTAAAATGACTTTGGGTCATGAGGCTTAATTAAATGTTTCTTGATGATCCTTTTTTATTTTAGAAATTGAAAACATTAAGCAAAGAATATCATTGTCCTTTATTGGGTTTATTTAAACCCAATATAGTGAAATCAGGATGAAAATTTTGCATTTTTCTGCCACCTAGTGGAAACTTATATGCTTTTTTTTCCCCCCCCAGTAGATATTTTCTGAGTTTTTAAGTTGAAGTTTCCTCCTCGGCCCCAATACGCTGTTGTACATAAAACATTAAATATGCTTCAGAAAAAATACTTCTCTGGAAATGATCCGTTCATTAAAATTGTTCCGAGCAGAGAAAAGAACGCCGTCACGGTCAGGACGGTGCGCAGCGCCTTGAACCAGCTGGGATACGTCGGCAGCAGAGAGAGGTCATAATGCAGCGAAACGCCGAGTCCGACGATGGCCATCATGGCCGCCGGAACAAGGCTGTAGCTCAGCAGCATGGCCGCCCACGCCAACAGCGGCGGAACCACGCTGTTGGCCAGGTTGATCCAGTCGGGTTCGGCCGGGCTGCTGTCGGGAAGCGCGAACCCCCATCGGGAACCGCCCAGGAAAGAGATGATGGCGGCGGCGTAGGCCAGCTGGGCGTAGGCCAGCTCCGGGTAAAACGTCTCTGTGGCGGCCATGATCAGAGGAGGGGAGACAAAGGGGATGAGCCCGGCGAAGCCCAGACACAGCGCCGGCTTCGGACCTTCCCACAAGTGTTTCATGTCATACCGGACCAGGTCCAGCTCCCGGGGAGGCGGTTCTGGTCGGTCTCGTTTCTTCAGCCTCGCAGCAGACGAGTGGAAATGTTGCGATGTGATTAAACCGTTGAAACGCGGAGTTTTCTGGGTGACGGAAATTAAACCATGAGGTTGTAGTCGACCAAAATTATCCGGGAAGAACCTGGAGGAGAATGGCGATCCGCTCAGGGACGACGGCCGCCATGTTGGAGGACGACGAGTCCAGAGGGAAACCTACAGGAAATACAGTTTCTATATGAGTGGTCAGCCCTGACGGCCGAATCAACAAGCTACTGAGAAGTATTAGGGACATACTTAGAAAAAATAAAATTATTTCAAGATTAAAGTCATAGTATCATGAGAAAGTCATAATGAGAATAGTAATATTTTGAGATAAGTCAGCTTTACAAGAATAAAGTCGTGAGTCATTGAGATTTAAATCAGTATTATGAGAATAAAATTGAAACTTTACGATAAGTCAAAATCTTATTAGAATAAAGTCAAAATAATGAGAATGAAGTTGTAATATGAGAAAAAGTCAATAAAGTATTATGACATTATGCACTTATAATTTTGACTATATCCTCGTAATACAACTATTCTATTCTGTCTATAATCCCAAAATATGGGGATTAAATTTTATTATAGAGATTAAAGTTATTTCAACTTTATTCTCATGTTATTTTTAGTTTATTCTCATAGTATCTTTTGTTTTAATATTATGACTTTATTCTCGTAACTTTGTTTCTTACGTAGGCCCTAACACTGCTGTACAATAATAAAAAAAAATTGTAGATCCACAATATTAAAAAGTGTCTTTCACAAATCTTCTTTTGTAGGATTACAAAATCACTCAATGGGCCGCAAATGGCCCCCGAGCCGCACTTTGAACAGCCAAACCGGCCATCAGGATGGATTTCTTACCCTCGGCGTTGCAGTGACGATTCTTCTTAAAGCAACAGACAGCATCTGAGGGGAAAATCAAGAGTGAGAATCACTGTTAAAAAGTCAACGGAAAACTTTTTTTTCCTACAGATTTTTTTTATGATTTGCTTTAAAAAATTTTTGTCTTGACTTTTTAATCTATATATATATATTTTTCTCGCGGTGCTTTTCAGTCAGGCAAAAGTTTAAGTCGCTCTTGGACGTCTGCGTTGCGTTCCGACGCGTGACGGTTGAGGCTAACGCTAATTAGCTAGCGTTTTTACGGCTATCTTAGGTAAGTCATAATTTATCGTTGCCTGGACGAAGTTTGCACATTTCTGTAGAAATAAAAGTATTGAATTTCATTCAATGTGGTCTTAAAAGGATTTCCAATAATTTATTTATTTCTACCAAAAACTGGATGACTAAAAACTTCCTTCTTCGTTGGTCTCAGCCAGCCCCCATTTGGAGGAACAGTTTTGTTTAAAGAGACTTCACTGTGCACTGTTGTCGTTTCTCTTGTGTATTTATTTTTGATATTTAAAATGTCTTCCAGTTCCACTGTCAAATGTTCATTAGAAATTTAAGCATAATGATCCTTGAGAGTTGCATTATGACACTGCTGTTATATTAATGGAAAAATGTCATTTTAATTGGGATAATTTTAATTTTAAGTAATTTTTAATTAATAGTTTAATTTTCTGAGAAACTGAATTTTGGGTTTTCATTCATTATAAGCCAACTATACTCACTATAAGCGAACTGGAAGTGACAAATAAATAAATCAGAAACGCATTCAATATGTGTTAGATTTCTAAAATAATCGCATTTTTTCCTAACAAAATTCAACACCCACCTTACACTCAGAAACAACACAAACCCGTCACCGTGAACAGCTGCAGTTACATAACTAAACCTCGTTTATTTTTATATCATTGTCCCATAAACTTAGCTGCTAAATTTACCTTCGTTTCAGTCTGAAAACTTCATATTTCAAGCTGTTCTTCGGGGTCATTCAGCAGGATTTTACCCTGGTACGCTGTTTATTTCTTCCGGGCGTATCAGCTTCCACGATTTAATAGTTCCGCTTATGTGACCAGACAAGCTGGTCACATAAGCGATGTAGCGTGTATTATCAAAATACACTTAATAAAAAGAAACATAAATTAATAGGATGATTTATCACATTAATATGTTTTGTTGTTTAATTCATGTAAATATGGATGTAAAGTTTTAATTTCATACATTGCTGCATATCTAAATTCTTTGAAACAACTTCAGTGATATACTTTTGTTCATAATGACTAAAAAAGAATTTAAAAATGCTAATTATTTAAACTTTGTGGGTTCTTTCCCAGCTGTTTTCATCATTTTTTGAATAAGAAGTGCCACATTTGAAGTATCTCAGCTAATGTTGATCTAAATTAAACAAAAAAGTCAAAAGACTTAATTATATACTGTCCAAATTATCACACTAACATGTTACTTTCAGTAAAACAATTAACCCAATTTATTTAAGAACTTCAATGAGACTTTTGTTCATATTAGGACATATTTGTTCATATTACATCCTTCGTCTTGTAAAATAAACGTTTCTACCGCGTCATATTACAGTAGATGTGAGGAGCGGCCATATTGAAACGAGAAGTTCGTCTTATAATTGTCATGTAATTACAATTACATGATCTGTCAAAAATTACAGTAAAAGAGCAAATGTGAATTTTGTCCAAACATGTTTATTGATACAGATATTTAATTTTGAGATATAAACTCAGGATTCTGAGAAACAAACTGACTTTTGCAGTTAATCCATGGTGTTTTACTGTTTTTACGAATTGTTCTGAGAATGCTCTATGTTTTGCAAAGAGAGAAATGCACCAAAGTGACTGAGAAAACTGTAATAATTACAATGTAAAGTATAATAAAATCTTTGGCGGATGAAGCCCACAAGGAGGCAGTCATGTTACTTCATAAAGCAATAATGGCAAGGAGCAACAAAGCCATTAAATGAAATAAATACATATAGCAGATAGAAAATCAGAAAATAATAACAATATACAGCAGATTAACCTTCATATGATCAATAATAGTAATAATAACACGTAGTCACAGGAGTCTGCAAGAAGAAAGTAAACTAAGAACTTAAAATGAGCTCTGTCATTTTTGCAGTGTTTTCAGATGACACTGTAATCAATAAGCTCCTCTTCAGCAGTTAGATTAATGCGTAAAAGTCATCCTCAGGAAGGAGAATAAATATGGGACAGCCATCTGTCTTCATCCACAGGAGGCGGTTATACGGCTCCATCGCCCTGAAAGACAAACATTATTATCAGTCAGATGTTTTCAGTTCACATAACTCATCCAAACAGACTCGGTTCAAGACTTTCAGGTTACGACAACATATAAAAATACAGAATAACAAGTTAGAAATCTCTTTGCAGACTTGTTCACTGCAAAAAACCTAAATCTTACCAAGTATTTTCGTCTAGTTTCTAGTGCAAATGTTGTAGTACAGTTAAAATAAGAAAAAACTAACTTATAAGTAACCTTTCAGCAAGGTATACGAGCTGGTTTTAAGTCAATAATTAATTAATATTGGTGAAAAATACTTGTTCCATTGGCAGATTATTTCACTTATAACCTGAAATAAGTGAAATAATCTGCTAATGGAAATAGCTTATGTTATTTAAATGATGCTTATTTCTACTGTACTAAGATATTTGCCCTAGAAACTAGACCAAACAATCCTTGGTAGTGTTTAGTTTTTTTGCAGTGGAAGTGAATTCAGGTGCCTGGACACTGACCCCTCCGCAGCAGCCGCAGCAGTCTCCACACAGCGCCCCCAGCAGGCCGTTTATCACCTGCACGGCGCACAGCACGATCTGGATTAAACCCATCGCCAGCAGCACGGAGAACAGGCCCAGGTGCCAGGACACCACATTTGTTGGCTGTTTGCACTCACTCCAGAGAGTGTGATTCTGCAGGTAGTCTCTGAAGATTAAATATAGAGTCGGATTATTAATTTCAGTTTGTTTTTGAAGAGTAGTATATTTGGGTATTGTCGCTTCCATTGTTGATTAAATGTTGATTGAATTGCAAAATTATTTTGTTTTTTACATTAGCAGAATATCATCAAAGTTTTGAGCACATTTGTAATGAAAAAAGCATCTAATAAAACTTGCACAAACACAATGTAAACTATGTTTGGTACACAGCAGCTGCATTTCCATTACAAATGTACCCAAAACGCAGTCGATATTTTGCTAATGTAAAAAAACAGCAGAATATGGACAAAGTTTTGCGCATATTTGAAATGCAGCTGCTGTGTACCAAAAATAATTTACATTGTTTTTGTGCCAGTTTTATTAGCTGCGTTTTCATTACAAATGTGCTCAAAATTTTATCAATATTCTGCTAATGTAAAAAAAAACAGTCTTGCAATTGCCGTGTGTCCATGAAATAAGCACAATTAAAATCACTTGTGAATAAGTTTGTTCACACAGTAAGTCATTAAAAACCATGCCGTGCCATTAGCATCCAACTACTTACTGTCGTCTTATCCGTCATTTCCACATGATCAGCATGCAGTTGTTGATCATGTGACTCGTGATGTGAATGTAGTTTTGGAGAATATGCTAATTTTTATGCAGCTGAAAAATTTCCTTCATCCGGCACCAAATAGTTTTAGCAAAAAAAAAGAGTTTTTTCAAACTTGACATGTTGCCATTAAGCAAATTTATTTTCTTGTTTTCAACTTACACAATTTTATGATTAATGGAAACACAGCTATTGGTGTCTGTATTAAGAAATGTGTTTCATGGATTTGTGATTTTGCACAGCATCTCACCCATTGTTGAAAGGGTATTCCCATTGTGTTTGGTTGACATCCGCAGGGTCAACCAAAGAACAACGCGGTCCCTTGTTGATGGCAACACATGAAACTACAACGGAGTAACCTGCACCAAGTGCACCAACGGCTGCAAACAGTATGGAGCTCAGCATCTATGTGGACACAACGGAGAGAAAATGGTACAATGAATTCAGTGTCCTCTTGATCTTAAATACAAATAAAATATGATTTAAATGGAATCACTGCAAAAACACCAAATCTTACCAATTATCTTTGGTCTAGTTTCCAGTGCAAATACTTTATTACACTTGAAATAAGACAAACTAACTTGCAACAACTTTTTAGCAACATATAAGAGCTTGTTTTAAGTACATAATTCCTTACTATTGATGAAAAAGTACTAATTCCATTGGCAGATTATTTTACTTACTTTGCATCTGTTACTGTGCCGTTACCTAGCAACCTCAACCAAGCCCAACCCGTCACCTAGCAACCCAGTTCTAATTCCACTGACAGTTTATTTCACTCATAACGTTACATTTTCCCAAATCATAAATTAATCCATCTGCCGATAGAACTAGTACTTTTTCCATCAACACTAAGGACTTTTTGACTTAAAATAAACATCTGTTTCTTGCTGAAAAGTTACTTGTAAGTTAGTTTTATCTTATTTCAAGTTTACTAAGATATTTGCACTAGAAAATAGACCAAAATCACTTGGTAAGAATTTGTGTTTTTGCAGAACAACGTAAATCAAACAAAGTTTTGTTTGATTTTTCACATTCCTGTTCAATGTGTGTGTGTGTGTGTGTGTGTGTGTGTGTGTGTGTGTGTGTTCATCTTTGGTGGAACAATAGTAACTTTGTAAGAGACGTGTTTAAACCCTCCAAATCCTTATTAATACATGTGCTTAGTTTTATGCATTTCTCTGTGTGTTTTTACATTTATGGCCATGTAAATCATGAAGGGTGTGTGTACACAGTGTCATTGTGTTTGTTTTCCATTGCTGCCTCAGCCTGGTTTGGCTTTACAGTTAAACTGATAACATGCAGTAAAACAACGTCTATCACTCCAAGATTTTTTTACGAAATTAACAAAATAACTGCTACCAAATGTTGATTGTGTCGGCAGCCATGAAGAGTTGTTTGGCATAACACTAAAGCCTTACATGACCTTTGTTATAATAATCCCTGCTTCACAAAAAGCACATTATGGGTCAAAATTTTTAAGTCATTAAACAGGTAAAAGAAACAAAAGATGGCGAAAAAACTAACAAATTTAACTGGGGTACAATTTAATTGCCACTAACATTAATTTAACTTTTAAATCCACTTTTTTCATTTGTTTCACAATTAATAAATTAGATAAATCAAATAAAAATCACATTTGTTTCAAATTAAAGTTCAATAAACCCAGTTGGATTATGGGAAATTATTTGCTCCGGCTCTTTGATTCCCTTTATCATATTTGCTTAAAGCGTCTGATGTTGCCACACCATTTGGGGCTCCGCATCCAAGGGCAAGGTACAGGGTTTACCACAGCAGCCATTTTGAAGCATTCACAAAACTAAGATCCATAATTAAGAAGGTTTACATCAATTATTTTACTTTAAAATTATATTTAAATATGTTATCAAATGCGAGTGCTTTGACTTTTAGTCCATTTTTCATTTAGCAGTCCCAAAAGGCAAAAAAATAAAGGTCTGAATTTCCATACAGCACATAGATGAGACAAAAACCTATTTTAATTTTCACTTCTGTTATACTTCAGTTGCATTTCAGCTCCTTTCGAGTTGGACAAACTGTCAATGTTTCCTGATGTTTTCATTTTAAATATGAAAAATAGTTACATCAGACCCAAATGAAGAGCTGCTGTGACTAAAGTAAACTTTAGTCCCAATTTTAAAAGTGATTTTTGTAAAATAAATTAAATAAATTCACGACGTTAAACAGAGAAACAGTTCTTTACCGCAAATCTCCGCCCACAGCTTTCGTTTCCACAGCAACCGCAGCAGTCATTGTTCTTCAAACCCAGGAAGACGAGAGCTGGGAAGATCATCTACCATCGACACACACACACACACACACACACACACACACACACACACACACACACACCAAAATATCTAAATGAGGAATCATTCATTTCCTTATTGTGTCCATGTTCCATCACCAAGCATACAGAAGATTATTGAGCATCAACCTTTTGATGTACATTTCAACTTCTACCTGATAAGCAAAAAAAAAGCATCAATGAAGGTTTCACATACTTTAAATGCATTTTTTTCTCAAAAACTCTTAATTATTTAATTATACATTTAAACTTCTACGGAAGCCAAGAGCGGATGTTTTCTGCATATACTTTTTCCCGATGGTTTTCTCGAGATTAGCTCGTTATCTCAGAAAAACCCACTGAGTTTTCTCAAAGTTTGTAGAAAAACTCAATATTTTCTCAAAGTTTATTTTCTTGAGTTTCACTTGTTATCTCAAGAAAACCATTGAGAAATTTTGAGAAAAAAAGTTTTCTTAAGGATTTTTTAGTCTCTAAAAAGATTATTGTGGAAGTAAGTCTTTATCTGGAGAAAATCATTAGGAAAAAATATGTGGAAAATGGAAAATTAACTAGTTATATAGAGAAAACAATCAAGTTTTCTAAAATGTGCCAGGAAAACTCATTGCTTTGTCAAAGTTGTTTCCAACCAAACTTTGGAAGTAACTTTTTGTTTTCAAGAAAACAATATCTGCTTTCTTGAGATTAACTCTTAATCTCTAAAAAAAAAAATTGGGAAATTAACTTATCTGAAGAAAACCATTGAGTTTCTTAAAATTTGTTGACTTCAAGAAAAAAATTGTTTTCTCAAGATTAACTCTTCATCTAGAGAAAATCGTTGGTAAAAAGTTTATGCAGAAAATGCAGAATTAACTTGTTATCTGGAGAAAACGATTGGGACAAAGGATACGAGGAAAACGCCCACTCTCGGCTTCCGTGCAACTCCTACCTGATATGGGAAAAATTGGTTCCACGTACTTTAAAAACAAAGTTTTGCTTCTCAAAAATTCTTAATTTGTTTATAGAAACAAAAAATAAACACATTTACCATCATATTATCAATCCTAGACAGCATAACCATCATGACACGTACCAGCACACCGGATCCCAGGATGCCTCCAAAGTACCAAACCTCGTCTGTGATGTTCTCCTTATCCACAACCTTCCCGCCGGGGAAGAAGAGCAGGATGTTGCAGAGGACACACACGATGGCCAGAGGCATCAGGCTGATGCCCAGACATTTAGCGAAGCCACCCGAACACATTCTGACAACGAAGCTTCAAACGCCAGGCCTCGACTGAAATATTCTGAGATTTAGATGCAGTCCAGACGGTGCCCGCTTCAGAAAGACGACTCCTAACTTCCTGCACCTCTAGTTTAGAAATATCTGGACTCCCAGAAAGATGCTGCCGCTTCACCTGCCTTCCTACTGATGACTGTCGATGCTTCATGTGGTCCTTTATAGTCGCCCCTCCTCTCTTTAGACATGATCTCATTGCTTCACATTTACATCAAACAGATCTCTCTCTCTCACACACACCCATACAAAGTCCAAACACACACTGCAAAAACAGAAAATTTCACCAACTATTTTGGTCTGGTTTCTACTGCAAATATATACACTTAAAATAAGACAAAACTAATTTAGAAGTAAGTTAACAGCAACATATAGGAGCTTATTTTATGGCAACAAGTCCTTAATTCTTAAAAAAATTAATAGTTCCACTGGCAGATAATTTCACTTATAATGTGAGGAAAATATCTTGTTATAAAAGAAATAACTGAGTTTTACTTAAAAAAAAAAGCTCCTGTATCTTGCTGAACATTTACTGTAAATTAGTTTTGCTTCTTATTTCAAGTACTAAGATATTTACTCCATAGAAACAGGACCAACATATTTTTGTAAGATTTTGTGTTTTTGCAGTGTATTTTTCACTAGAAGGTCTTTATTGTGTTTCATATATTTCTACACAGCAAAAACAAAAAATCTTACCAACTATTTTTGGTCTAGTTTTTAGTGCAACATTTTAATACACTTGAAAAAAGACAAAACTAACTTACAAGTAACTTTTTAGCAAGAAATACAATCTTGTTTTAAGTCAATAATTCCTTTATATTGATGAAAAAGTTCTAGTTACCCTTGCAGATTATTTCACTTATAACAATAGAAAAATATTGTGTTCTCAGTGAAATAATCTGCAAGTAGAAGTAATATTTTTTCATCAATACTAAGAGATTACTGACTTTAAACCAGCTCCTTCTTCCTGAAAAGTTACTTATAAGTAAGTTTTGTCTCATTTCTAGTGAACTCAGATATTTGCAGTAAACTAGACCAAAAATACTTGGTAAAATTGTGTGTTTTTGCAGTGCACATAGCTGGTGGGTCCATTCAAAACCCACAGAGGGCTATTAATGTAGGAATACATACCTGTGTGTCCACCCGGACACAGCAGTGGCCAGAGTGGTTAATGTTTTACCTGGTGTTTGGATTACACGGAGACAGAGGAGGAAGTTTCAGATAGTCGGTTGATAGTGACTCATAAGAAAGACTCGTGATCAATAAGGAATGTGTCATGAATTTATAAAGGTATCCCATGTGAAAGAAAGTCAGATTATTTAATGGGAGCCCTGCCTTGTAATCGATGGAAAGCAGGTGTAACCAGTAGGCTTGTCGACATGAATCATAGCAGTTTTGTTGATTATATCCTCATGTTAAAGTGAGCAATTTATCAATATTAAGGAGTATTATTAACTGATATATATAATGAGTTTGAATATTATGTGTTAGTGGTTTTACAGTGTGAATCTCCAGTACTGCACAAAAAACTAAATATTAAGTATTTTTGGTCTAGTTTCTAGTGGAAATATCTTATTACACTGAAAATAAAAACTTTCAGTGTAAAAACTTTTCAGCAAGATATACAAGCTTGTTCTAAACATATAATACTTTGGAACATTATATGTTTGATAATGTATTGATGATTTTGATTATGGTGCTTGATGTTTGTTACTGGTTTCTCTGGTGACTGTATGCTGTTTTTATTGTTTTCTATTTTTGTATTTTTATGATGTGAAACACTGACTGATGTGTTGCTGAAATGTGCTATAAAAACAAACTTGATTGAGTGATTAATATCCATGAAAAAGTACTAGTTCTACCGCCATAACTTTGGAAAAACGTTTTGTTTTAAGTTAAATAATTAACTAGTTATAGTTTAGGAGCAACTGCTGATATTTACCCATCCTTAACAAAAGGGGGCTGGGTTAAGTTTTTATTTATCTATCTACTTTTTACTCTGTTTTAAAAAGATTATACTTCTTAAACTAAGTTCTCACTGCAAACATGTCACATTTTAAATCAAAAAAAGACCTATGGGTTTAAATAAAAGCACAGGAGTAACTTTTTCTAAAAAAAATAACTGACCGTTTTATAGACTAATCCATTACCTATTGACTGTTGCAAAAAGAGAAGAAAAAAGGGACCTGAGAAGCTATAAAATAATTTGTTAATTATTTCTTTGCATTGTTGTCAAATTGTTGTCAGTGTCCAAAGTTGATACTTTGGCTGCCTATAGTAGTAGAAGAAGAAATTCTGGCATTTATTATTATAGGAAGGTAAATTAGAATAACTGCAATCTGGATTTTGTTTCCACCAAATACCAAAAAGATTCAGTTATTTAAAATTCATTTGGGTTTTAACTGCTTCTGAAAACTACCCAAACAATTGTACGTTTATTTATTATTATTATTATTATTATTATTATTATTATTATTTATTTATTTTATTTATTTTTTGGGGGGGGGAGGGCTCTGGAAAATGATCTGATTCAAACTTCTGATTGCAACGTCACAAATCAGCAGGCACTGCCCCTCACCTCGTGACCCCAGCGAAGCCCAGCCCCGTTACCTAGCAACCATAGAAGCCCAGCCCCGTTACCTAGCAACCGTAGAACCTCCAGCACTTTAGTTCAGCTGGTTTTACTGCTGTGTAAGTTCTGTTGATTCTTTTTACATCTTATATTAAAATATGGATCTGGATATGACGCCAAATTCAGTTCATCTCTGTTCCAATTCTAAATATAAAAACCTGTTGGTTTGAGCAGGCTAATGGAAGCAACACAAGCTAATGTCTTTGAAACACTGTAGCTACATGTGTATTAAAGGAAGTTGTGTAATATGCTGTGTTTTATTAGAAAGAGAGATCAACTGTTTTTATTGCAGCTGTAACTAATATTAAAGGCGGCCATATTGGATTTTCTGATGATTTCGCAAATGTAGTCTTTTATGCACTTTTTGTTGATTTTTTTTATTTTTTATTTTACAATCAAAATTGAATATGTCAGTTGAATTTGTGTTAATGAGGCTCGTCTGGCAAATTAGAAGTACCTTTTGGAAATAATCCTTAGCATTTCTGATTTAATCAGAAGTGGACAGAGGACACAAAAACTATACTCAAGTAAGAGTAACTCTACTTCAACTACTCAAGTAAAATAAAAAGCAGCCAAGAAATGACTGAAGTAAGAGTAAAAAAGTATTGGTAAAAAGACTGAACATCAATGATTTAATATTATCAGACGGACCAAAAATAATATTAAATAATAATATTAAATATATACATTTTAAAAATATGTCTCATTCAGTGATTTGAGTTACTTGTCAATTTATTGAACTTGATATTAGGCAATCGATGTGTTCTGCGCTCCTATCTTCTCCCAGCTCGACACGATCAATTACAGAATAATCGATCAGAAGTTGAAAGTCCGCTTCGGTTTGTCTTCATTTCTGCATTTTCGCGCTGTTTTCTCGGTCTCTGCAGGAAGCTGCCGCGGTATGAAAGCCAGCCTGCCTTTCTCTTCTCGCCGGTCTCCTGTGCTGTGTTTGCACTGCTGCGTGGCGTCCAGTCAGCCGCTGGCCTCAGCCGTGGGTCTGGGTGAGTGAGTGGGAGGGTGGACAACACCTTATTTTATTTATTTATTTATTTAGTTTTGCGTTTTTAATTTGATCGTGACTAATAAAATCTGAAATTCATGCAACATATAAAGAGGACTGCAGTATTCAGAGTTGGCTTCTTTATGAACAAAACACGCAGGGAGAGCTGATTAAAGTATTAACGGCTCGAACCGCTGAAAACTGGACGTTAGACGGTTCTGTAGGTGCTCAACTGCCTATTAAAGCTGCAGTATGTAACTTTTAAAAAATATCTATATTACATATAGAAATTGTCACTATGTCATGACAGTATGGTATGAGACAGATAATTAGTGAAAAAACTGAATTTCCCATGAACAACCAAAAAGAGGCGGAACTTAGCGCTGTCAATCTCTGCCAAAATTCAGCTAGCATAGCATGCTATGAATGCCAAGGCTGATTAGCATGCTCATCAATGACGACGGTTAAACGGTTTTTCTGTAATGGTTGGCTGATGTTTCTCCGTCATTAGCACATTTAGCAGTGAGCATACACATGTTAAGACCCGCCCCTTCGCTCTGATTGGTTGTTCTTGTGTAACCGGGTTCTGCTTCACTCCACTGTAC